GGAAATGTCAATATGAATACTGTAAACTCAATTATTTTTTCCATTTCATCATGACACTATTGCTTTCATCTACGCTAGTGTATGCAGAGTATAAAGGTCCAACTCTGCCCTTTCCAAATAAGAACCTTATAGCCGTTAGGTAGAAGGGGAAGAACAGTTCCCTAGATACATGGAATTGGGACAGTTAGACTTTCAACTAACCCTTTTATTTCTAGCCCCATCTTGACCTACATGTTCAAAGAGATTTGGTGTTACCAGGTCTCGACCTTGTGGTGGTTCTGCCTAGTGGTCACCTTAGGTTTCAACTTCTGTAGGTCTGCTGCATCAGTTAGCACTGCCATTGGCGGTATAAAATTCCCTGGTTTTAGTGCTCTTCTTTCTTTTCTTGTTCCCACTATCCTTATGGGTTTCTTCTGTCCTTTCTTTCCTTTTCTTTCTCTTTTTGCGTGTTCCTCCTGCTTTCTCCCAGCCGCCCCCCCCCCCATACTCCCTTTATGACTCTCTATGGTATCGCATGAGATTTTCTATTTTCAACCCAAGGTTCTTAGAGTCATTCTTTTGAGTTAGAATTTTAAACCTGTAGGTTTAATTTGGAGGGAAAATGTTTTGTTGTTGTTCCTGTAAATAGGAATTTCCTTGATGAAATTACTGCTTTAATGTTGCGACTCAATAATTTTTGTCTCTTAGGAACTGGCAACATTAAAGTCTCAGTTGAACTCACAATCCGCGGAGATCACCAGTCTACAGACAGAAAAGCAGGAGCTATTGCAGAAAACAGAAGCATATGTAAGCTATTTCTTGTTGTTTTTCTTCTGAAAGGCATCAGACACAAGTTTGGGGTAGTGTGACTCTTCAGCCACTATGAAAAGAAAAAAAATTGCCTGATAGCATCTTCTCTACCATTGCACACTAGCAAGAGCTCCAGTCTCAGAGGTGTATGGCAGCATCCGTATCATAGCTAGGCTCACCAGGTCACTTCATTCAGTTACTCAGTGTTTCCTAAATAATGTGGCAGGACCCTTGGGCAATCTTGGTATTCACAATCACATGCCAGAAAGGACCCGTGCTGAGATTCTTTCATGAGATTTTCTCCAGATTTGCCAAATGTGATTCACAGTCACATTGTCCCTTTCATACCCCATGAGACAAAACATGGTGTCTCTAACACATTTGTTAAAGATGAGAACAGATGCAGTTTTTTTTTTGTTTTTTTTAGGGAAATCATTTGTTCTGCCATCTTATATTGCTACACATCTCCTTGTGTAGAAATTGTGTATCATTTACGGCAAAAGGGTGAGATGAACCCGTCGTCTTCATTTTCTATTACTGATTTTACCCCATCTCGACCTCGTGTCCATGGCACTCCTTTTGCGAATGTCCTGAATCTTGTTTTTTCTCTGATTCATTTACTTTATTGATTCAAAAAAAATTGTTATGGGTACCTTCTTTGTGCAAAGTGCTGTTCTAGGTGCTGGGACTCTAACAAACTCGATATCAACAGTCAAGTAGCAGACAAATAAATCATATTATAATTTAAGATCAAGCACTAAGGTAGAGTAATATGACAGAAGGACTTAGTGGGGATGATAAAGGCTTGGGAGATTCATTTGTTGAGATGCTTGGTGCTTGAGAAAAATAATATAAAGAGAAAGCTGGTGCTCTATTTGTCTAAACTTTCCAAGTTCTGATGATCCTCATTAGTGGGAGCATACTTCAACATGGGGGCTTCCAAAAGTATATGGGAAAAAATTCACTATCTTTCAATTCTACTTTTCCACAAACTTTTTGAAGCCCCTTTTCAGATTGTTCTTTGTGATGGGAGAGGGGGTAAAAAGCTTCTAATCTCAAATTTTAGCAAGTTTTTAATGTTTTATAGCATAATAACAGTATTGTAATAATGCCATCTGTAGAATTTAAAGGTGTGTATTGGAAGTACATGGCCAATTGTAAAAAAAGCATTTAGGGGACTAGAGAACTGTGTCATATGAGTCGATGGCCTGATCTTTATATAAAAATGGCTTCATTGGATTAAAATTGCACGTTAACCTCTTCTTTCGTTTATGGGTGTTCAGTAAAGATCTTTCTATGTTTTGAGTGAGACCAATATAGAAGGCGTTGTCTACTATATTCTCTTGTTTTGTGAGTCATAGAGCAAATCCTTATGATTCTTTCTTACAAATACATCCTTATAATTTAGTTGACGGGAAAGAGATGAATATCGTTCTCTTCTTTCCAGTCAGGAGAGTGATGTGCTTGTGACTTTTCCATCTGCTGTTGTCACAAGGCTCCAGACTGCATGAGATCCCTAATTAGAGGAATCCTGATAGCAGAACCCGGACAGTAACAACCAGAATGTTCAGCTGTAATTATCCCAACATCATTTAATTTACTTTATTTTATTTGTAAACCACTTTAGAGCCCATAATATACAAACACTGTCATTGGGTTGATTTAGACTCATAGTGGCCCTCTACAGGGTTACTGCAGCTGTGAATTTTATAGTATACAGACTCATTTTCTCCAGTGGAGTGGCTAGTGGACTTGAACCACCAACCTTGCACTTAGCAGTCCAGTGCTTACTGACAGCTGAGGCTTTTTCCCCTTGCTCTGCTATATTTAACCTATAAATACAGCTCATAGCTAGCTGATCCTTTAATGCTTTCTCTGTTATTTTCAGAAATGTAGATAAGCTCCTTGCACTGATTTTAAAGTTTAACTTAGACATGGGTTCTACCAATTGTGTATGAAAAAGTTGAGGAAAGATTGAAACCCTATGATTTAGGATTATTTCCTCCAAGCACGTAGAATACACTTGCATTTCACAGTTAGAGCATTATTAGCTCCATTTCCCCAACGGTCTGTCTGAGATGAGTGTGCGTTTAGCCTACAGGCATTTAATGAAAAAGACGTTGGAAACTATCAGGTTACAGCTGCCTCTTGATTCTTTCATGGGCTGACCTCTAGCTCAGCCTTGTTCATACTCTGATAGGGTTTGCTGTTGCTCTGTCCTGCCCAAGCCTCCTGCTCCACGGAGAGACAGCTCACTCTTCAGGGAAGAGCGCTTTATTGCATATAAATACATAAAGAATGATACAGTTAGTTGGGAGGTATGTATTATTATTTCAATATAGCAAGAAAATTAAATGGCATTAGGAGTTTGTATTGGTAGTTCATAGTTTTAAAATTTTTGACAAAAGGGTGTGTGTGTGTGTGTGTGTGTGTGTGTGTTTCATTTCTACTTTCAGGCCAGTCCAGTTCTCATATCAGAAGAGAGTGAAACAACAGCTGCGAAAACTACTGATGTGGAAGGAAGGCTATCAGCATTATTGCAAGAGACTAAAGAGTTAAAGGTTAGTTTTTGATGAAAATTTCATTAAGTATTTTATCAAATGAACTGCAGGAAATTGATTGTACTGCAGTTAATCTCTCATAGCCTGAGGCCAGTGAGGTATAATGTTACCTCAAAACAGTTGCTTCCCCATGATGATGGCTAGATGGCACAAATAGTTTTTAGGAGCCATTTCAAATAATGGTACCAAGTACGTAAAATGAAAATGTATATTAATATAATTTGAAGGTAAAATCATTGAAAATATTCGTTTTCAATATCTGAACTTCAATATCTAATCAATAAGAAAACAAGGGGTCCAGATTTGCTAACATAAGCCACAGGTCACGTCTCTCTGAGGCTAGGTGTTAACATCGATCCTTTCAATCCTTGTCAGCCCATGGTGTAATAGACACAGAAGAATAAAATAAAAAGAATCTAATAACGTTAATAAAAATAAAGACTTGAAGGAAAAATAGAAAATCCAAGATAACATGTCATTGAGCCTTTTGATTGTGATCAGCTTGTTTTTAAAGTCGTGGATTTTATTGCATTGGTTTGGAGGCCTCGTTCTGAGGCAGCCAGGCTTTTGCTGCTAGTTGTCTTGTGTTTCTGTTTCCTTTTCTGATGATTGGAAATGTTCTGGTGTTTTGTCTCTTTTTGTGGAATAGCAAGTAAAACTTTTTTTTTTTTGGCCAGTATTTTTCCCAGTACTGTTCTCTGATATCTAGTCTAAAGTGGGTGTGGGTGTGGGTGGGTGTGCTTCTGTAACGTGCCCCTCCTTGCCCAGCGTGAGGTCCAAGCCCTGTCTGCGGAAAAGGCTGCCATCGAAGAGCAGCTGGCCTCGTCCAACTGCACCATTGCCATTCTGCACAACGAGAAGAAGAAGCTGGAGGGGGAGATGAAGGACTCCAAAAAAGAGCAAGATGATCTCTTCATGCTGCTGGCCGATCAGGATCAGAAAATTCTATTCTTGAAGAAGAAACTGAAGGAAGCGGGCCATCCTGTAAGATGATAAAATATTTGCCCCAAATAATTTGTAATCTCTGTCATGATGACGCTCTTTTGTTTGGTGGTTTTCAATATAGCCGAGACAGTAGTCCCCACCTAGTCGGAGGTTTCACTTTGTTACCTGTGGACTGCTGTGCTCTGAGTATGTTTGCCTGGTTCGCCCTTCTGAGTAGCATGATGAGATCGTGTGCTATCCCCCAGGAAGGCCTGGGCCTGGGTCCTCCTCCTCCACTGCACACAGGCCCAGCAGACAGGAGCGGGTGAGCAGGTTTGCCGTGGACAGCCCAGGCCACCTTGAGTACCTGTTACATGCTCATATGGCACGTATGTGTGTGTGTGTGTGTGTGTGTGTGTGTGTGTGTGTATGGCTTAGTACGGCATCTTGGAACTTAACCCCCCATGGAAAAGGGAGACTGCACTGTACTTTTATGGTGGGCGTAGACGTGTAGCGCTGTTTCATCTACGCTGGTTTTACTGTGTTCAGGAAATTGATCAGACCCCATTTAGGTTCCATTTCAGTCATGTTTAGATTGTTTTCCTTTGGCCTTTGAACTTAAAAGGTGAATTGAATTGATTGTTCGTATGGTAATACAATTCCACCAGGCCAAATGTGCCATTATCTTTTGCTATGTTTGCTTCAGATTCGAGAGAAGTATAACTCTCCATCAGCAAAATAAACCCATGTATACCATCTCATATTAAAAGCAGCAGGGAGCTTTGAGCATTAAATCAAGGAAATTGGATGGCTTGTGTTCTACTGTAAGTACTGGAATACAGAATTTATCAATCGGGTATATGTTACCCACTGGTATCAAGTCGATTCCAACTCATAGCAACTCTACAGCACAAAGTGGAACTGTTCCTAGGGACCCCAGCGCTGTGAGTCTTTACAGAAACCGGCTGCCTCCTCTCTCTCCTGGAGAACAGCTGGTGTCCTCCAGCCCCTGGCCTCGCAGTTTGCAGCCAGCACCAAACTCAGTCCCACCAGGGTCCTGTAGGGGAGTTGCTGTTATGTAGTACTTAGGAAGTGACTAAATATGTCTACCTGGATGTGTTTTCTTATTAGGCGGAAGAAGAGGATGAACTGGAATCTGTAGGCCAACCTGATGATGATGAAGATGAGGAGGATGTGGAACAGCAGGATCATAGCTAATTAGAATCCCTAGGAATGGTAGAGATTACATGATAACTTTGAAGACGGTGTTGTGGTCTACCTTTTCAGAAAATAAAGATTCAGAAAGCACGTGTGAAGCATTCACTACTCAGATTATTATTGTATTTTTTAAATGATGCTACTCATGATAAAAGCCCGAGCCCCTGTATAGAAGCCATACCCTTTCTGTTAATTTATCTGAACATTCCCCAAATGTAATTTGCAAAGAGTTCAAGACATCAAAAGGACATCATTTTAAAGCATAGTGGCAATGCTGTTTGCCATGAGTTATCTACATCAATTCTCTATTTTGTTTATTATTTTCACTTCTCAGAATTTGTGGCTTTCAGTACTAACTTATTTGATTTATTGAATTGGAATCATTGTTTCTAAATTCAGCGAGAAGTTCTTAGCTGATGGTTTTCTTTTCGAGAAATGGGTGTACCGCAAGGCAAGAGAGCAAGCGCTGGAGCTCACGTCTGCCAGCGGCCCTCCCTCCGCCGGTGCGCCTCCTGCAGTGAGTCCCGGCACAGGAGTAGGACGAGCGCCGTGACTCGCTGACGTGGCTGCACCGTGCGCCTCAGTGAAGAGCCAGGAGGGGAGAGGTGGTTTCTGAGAACTTTGGCAATGGTATATTTGCATGTGCCTGGTTTTCTTTTTATTTTAAGCTGAGCATTTAAAAGAAATATTTCTAGTTAACAGCTGATGCATCTCAGATTTACGACAGCATTGTTTATCGAAAACATATTATGTTCATAAAAGACCCACACTATGATTTGTGTAATTTATTGGCATTTTTGCTGAATAAGTTTAAGTCAGATAATAGATTTATAAAAAGCAAATGAAGCCATGTGTCAAAATTTAATGTTTTGGTAATAAAAATAGCTATGTTCACTTAATGCTTGGTTTTAATTGTTTTTGTTTTGTTTTTTTTTTAAGACTTTGAGAAAAGCATTTTATTCTCAATAAAAGTGAGACCAGTGGAAGCTGTGAAGGGAGAGTTCTCTTACTGGGTGTATATTACAGCTTTTTACATTTATACGCAATCATTTAAAATTTTAAAGGAAGTTGTACGGGCCATAGCTGATCATTACAGTCTCAAAACTGTGGAGGGGGGCCCAGTTGGAACAACTGAACTTGAGGAGGGGTTGCATGTTTCTCAGTTCAGCTCTGGAGTTCTTAGCCAATGATTTCATTTTAAAGAGAAGTGCTGTGCCTCTGGGTTGATGCCGACTCACAGTGACTATAGGACAGAGTAGAACTGTCCTGTAGGCTTTCTTGTTCCAGTCGTGATGAATGCCTGGCTCTTGGCCCTCGGTGGGCGGCGGGGACCCCCTGGTTGTCCCACGGTAGAGAGACGCAGCAGTCTGCTTGCGCACAGGCTCGGACACACCGTAGGACGGCTCTTTTCTACGATGTGGGTCACTGTTGTTGCAATCTACTCCATGGCAGCAGGCTTGGCTTTCATTTTTCTTTTCCTCTTTCCAGGAGCAGGTGGCAGAACCCACCACGCCACCAGGGCCCCTACGTCAGGCCCGCCGCCCACCCCGCCCATGAGTAGCTAATGCGTTGTCAGAAGCTCTGCCGTTTTGGAAAAGAGGCTCGCATTGTATTCTGAATGTGATGCCAAGCCAGAAGAACGACTAGATCTCTTTCTGTCTCATAGAGTCCTCTCTCCGCCATGTGCAGACTTGTCTGCCATGAGGAGACTTAGGGAGAAAGCCCGGAGATTAGGTGCATGGCCCTTTTAGCCGTTTAAGCACAAACAGCTGAAGTTCAGACTAGGAGTGGAGGAGTCTAAAGTAGGACTAGGGATCTATTTTATGAGGATTTGATGAACTGCCCCTAGGGACTAAGGCAGCATGAAAAAGTAACTCCTGGCAAGCACTGGTGCATTTGCTGCAGACAGGAAAGGAGCAGGTTTGGGGTGGTAATGAAGGGTTGTGCTAAATCCACACAGAAATATTCATGTAAACAGTTGGAAATTAGAAATTTGAAGCTCATTTGGACTGGGAAATAATGTGAGCAATGGTATTTAAATAGTGTATTTAAATCCATTCAACAGAAGAAGTTCTTTTGGGAGGGGGTGTGGAGGGAGAAGGTGGCCAGGAACACCACCTAGAAAGCCATTCAGTCTTTACAGGGAGCACTGGACCTTAAGTAATGTGGTGGGTGCCAATGAAGGGAGTCCAACTGCCAGCACTCCCGTGTAGGAGAGTACAACCTCCCCAGGAGGTTGGCTACGTTCGTGTGTTTATGGCAACAGGCCATCAGGTCTTTCCCCCACAGTGCTGCTGGGTAGGTTCAAATCACCAGCCTCCTGTCCATTTCAGCATAAATGCTTACACGTTGGGCCACCACACTCCTCATGTTAAGTAACATTAGACGGGCAATGAAATCAGTCCGGACCTGAAACAAATTTGAGCTCTGGAATTAGAGGAAACACTAAGAAAGCTGTGATCTTAAAACTCAGTTCCTGCTGCAATTTTGGAAAATGAAAATGTAACTCTTGTTGAAATTGCATTAAAGTTTTATTAGCATATAATTCACATTCCATACAATTAAAAAGAGAGTGTGATCAACACTACACCTAATTTTTGAACATTTTTCTAATTTTCTTTTTTAATTAAAAGATCATTTTATTGGGGGGCTCTTACAGCTCATACCAATCCATACATCAGTTGTATCAAGCATATTTATATGTTGCCATCATTCTTTTCTACACATTTACTTTCTACTGATAAATTATAAATTACTATTATTTTCATATCTTACACTGACTGCTATCTCCCTACCATGGTTTCTGTTGTTCGTCCCTGTATTAGTCTAGGTACTTTAGAGAAACAAATCCACAGCAACTCATGTGTAAGAGAGTTTTATGTAAAGAAAGTGTGCATCATGAAAACATCCCAACCCAATGTTGCCCAAGCTCACAAGTCCAACATTAACCCAACACCAGTCTACAAAGTCCTCCACCTCACAAAACA